TATGTTTTGTGATAGTTGTTCATGAGTCCCTTGTTGGTCCTGAGCAGTTCAACTGCCTGTTGTTCTTCAGAAAAATCCTCCATCTTCTGCACATTCTTTGGTTTTCCAGCATCTTCTGCATATTTGACCGCTTTCCAACAATGACTGTATGTTCAAGAAAGCAACATGATGCATTAAGACCCGGGAGGTGTAAACTTTTGAACAGGATAATCAGGGTAAATTGTCCTTATTTTGTCTTCTGGGAAACATGTATGTATTTATGTAGCTTCTGAAGTGCAGTACTAAATGAAAAAAATATTATCTTTAATCAAAATAAGAAAAATTTACAAATCATCATCCTGTTCAAAAGTTTACACCTCCCGGCTCTTAATGCATCGTGTTGCATTCTTGAGCATCAGTAAATGTTTTCACCTTTTGTAATTGTTATGTATGAGTCCCTCAATTGCCCTCAGAGTGAAAAGACGGATCTCAAAATGTGCAGGAGCTGGAGGATATTTCTGAAGAACAGCAGGCAGTTGAACTGTTCAGGACCAACAAGGGACTCATGAACAACTATCACAAAACAGAAGAAAGTCATGGATCATCCAGGAAATGACACAGTATTAAAATTTAAGGGTATGTAAACTTTTGAATGGGGTTATTTTTACAAATCCAGTTATTATTTTGTCTTGTGGAGTATATATAAACATCTGTTATGTGAAATAGCTCATTCATGACAGTACAAAATAAAAAATAACATGCAATTTTCATGATCCCTCTTATTCTGTTAAAATTATGAACATTTTGCATATTCTGCAAGGGTTATGTAAAATTGTGCACAACTGTATATTGATACACACTGGTTCATGGGTTTACAGACATCGGCCGCTAGCAACGAACCATTGAAATTTCAAAACGTTTCAATAGGGCTGGGCAATATGGCAAAAATATCATATTACGATTTTTTTTCAGGAAAATCGCGATTCACAATTTTATCACGATTCTTTGTCATGTTGGTTTTACTATTTTGCAAGTTGTCTGAACAGTACAGTCAAATTAATTTCCCTATTTTAAAAACAAAGCCTTACAAGGTAACAAGATATAAAAGAATGGCAGACATTTGGGCCAAAGATTTGGGCGAAGATAAAATTAATTGTCATTATTTTCTCTTTGTTATTAAAAATTAAGAACAAAGATATACATTACAAATACAAATAAAACAAACAGTGCTTTATTTTTCAGGTACAGTAGGTGTAATTAGCAGTAGCATTCAATAACTTGAATAAACAAATATACAAATAAAACACTATATACATCAATTATACATTGGTTCTTATTAAATCAACTGTATTAAAGTTCTTCAGTCAAGATCAGTGAGTGATTTTTCTCTTTGTTTTGTTGTTTCATTAACATTAAAGATATAGTTCACCCAAAAATGAAAATTCTGCCATTTACTCACTCTCAAGTTGTTTTAAACCTGAATGAGTTTCTTTCTTCTGTTGAGCAAAAAAGTTATTTTGAGGAATGTGGGTAACCAAACAGTTGCTGGTCCCCAGTGACTTCCATAGTGTTTTTTTCCTTCTATCAAAGTCAATGGGGACCAGCAGGTTGTCATTGCTACTTTTTCATTGTTGCCACAGGTTGTTTTTCAACTCCGTGGGTTAAAGCGATCCCACTAACGCGATATGTAACACCCAGAACACAATTGGACTAGTTTTGGACTAGTTTTGAGAAGCAATTGGGCAGATTTTGTTGTGAAAACCTAGCAACCCTGTTCGTATTGTTCTTTTGCGCATGCGGGTCAGTTCAGAACCATGTTCTGTTCACACTGGAAATCTGATATTGGCCACATTTATAACAACAATGTGAACAGCTATAAAAAGAAATCGGATCTGAGCAAAGATCGGAATTTGATCACGGCTCAAGGCTCGCAGTGTGAACGTAGCCTATGTAAACAGAACATAACCGTGACACAGGTGTTTGGTTACCCACATTATTCAAAATCGTCTCCGGTTACTTATGTAACCATGGTTCCCTGAGTAGGGAACGAGACACTGCGTCCTCTAGGGGTCGCTATGGGGAACGCCTCGTCGTGACCCGTGTCTGAAGCATACATTGAAAAAACAC